GGTATCCAGGTTGTAGCTGTATTAGTCTAGAGGAAAAAAGGCAGTAAGTATACATTTTGTTCAGCCCTACAGTCTGAAAGTTTAAAGCTAAAACCACTCCTTGCACGAAGATGCTCACGGAACATATTTTGAAAACCTAAAGCCAAGCCTCGCTGTCCTTCCCCACACAAAGGTCCCTTAAGTAGCAACTGATGCTGAAGAGTGAGCCATGCATGACATGTTAGTCACATTTCCTAATGCACCACCGAAAGATTCTCAGTTGCCATGAGAACCCGCATAGAACAGAATAGCAAAATATGGGTCAGCCGTCACTTCTGTACACAATGCTGCTGCCAGCTCTGTGGCTAAGAAAGAACCATCACTAAAGTGGGATGGAAACTAATACTTCTATGGTGGAATAACAAGCAGTAAGAGGATTTGATTGTTTAAAGCTACATGTTAGCTAGCACAGGGAGCTGTCAGCTATGCTTCTCTACAGCCGATTTTCTTTGCACCCACCTAGAGTGAGGGTACCTACTATTTTATAGGTTTGTCGCCAAAGCCTTTTGCATTGCTCCTGCTACTCCTGTCACACCGGCCCTATGCCAATACCAGATTGTGCCATGCAGAAGCTTGGATATCCCTTCTGGTAGATGGGTGACTGAAACCACGTTCTACTTTTGCAACGTCTTACCGCAACACTTTTAATTGCTAGGTCCCTAGTTCCATCACTGGAAACCTCAGTGGACTCTTCTCCTTTGTTTAAATACACAGCACGTTGTTTCAGATAGCTGAAGCCTTATTTTGGTTCTCTAGGAAATGTCTTTCAATACCTAGTGAAAACTTAGGAAAAATGACTCCCACAATGCAATTTAAAATTGTCCTGCAGGAACCTTTTTTTCCTCAGCTCTAAATCCAGCCTTCAGCATGTCTTGAGTTATGAGGTTGTCCAGACCTCTACTAGAAGACCAGGGGAGTTTACACCAAAAGACATAAACAAGTCAACAATAAAAAATACCATTTATCTCCTTTTCCTTCCAAAATCTCTTGCTCCAAAGTTCATTGTGTTCTGTCTATGAAGCAAAGAACTATAATATAAATTACAACACTCGGGGCCAAATCCTGAAGTTCTTCCTTTGTGCTCTGTCCTTATTCAGCCAAAACTCACAGAAACTTTATGGGTTTTTTTCCTTTAATTGAATAAGTTCTGAAAAATAAGTAAGGGCTACGGCACTGAAATATTAGGTGCTATTAGCTAATCAGTCTTTTACTAACCTTGGGGAAATAATTTAAACCCTGTTTCTCAGTTTCCTCATCTGAAAAATATATGTAAAACTTTTCAAAGGTAAGTTTTTTTGTTGATTAATAATAGTATCAGCTCAGCAGATCTACATAGAAAGTAGAGTTTATTGGAAGATTTCATCTAAGCATATTACATTTTAAAGAGAAAAGGACAGATGTGGCACAATGCAGATTGCAGGTCCCAGCAGTGGGAAGTTTGCAAAGAGAAGCTTAGCAATACAAGCCATCTGGCCAAGAGGTATGGAAGATATAGTTAATGCAGGCCCAGAAATGGGCAGCACTGTCCAGGAAAAGCACTCGTGTGCATGAGGGGCACAAGGTGGTGGAGTGATGTTTTACATCAGCATCTCTCTCAGACAACCTCTACTAGCAGAGGCACCACAGATGCCCAACTGGATCATGAGGTGGGAACAGGCATAGTTCTTGTGCCTCCATAAAATTATGGTGGCACAAAGGCCAAGCAAACAGACACCTGTACCCTTTATTGTACCACAAATGCCCCAAATTTGGGGCTGTGACAAAGGTGGTAATAGTTTCTGGCACTTTATTGCAGCAGACATCTGTTTGCTTTATGGTGCGAGAGTGCGGGCAGCCCAAAGCTGCCTGTGCTCTCCAGACACCGCAAGCAGGCAGGCGTTTCCTGCTTGAGATGCCCAATCCTGTGCACCCCAGGAATTCCCATGCAGGATTGGGACCCTCAAGCCCCAGGAACGCCTGCCTGGCTTTCCCCTCCTACAGAGATGTGCCCTGGCCATCTCCAAGGTGTCTATAAGCAGGGAAGACATCGCCTGTTATTCCCCAGAATTGGGCCCTGGGACAACAGGCAGCATGTTTCACCCAGTGAAGTGGATCAGCTGTCCTGACGCAGCAAATCTGCTTCATTTAGCAACGTCTGTTTATATCCTTAAAGAAGTGCCCAAGGTTTTGGCTTGGCAGGCCAGATGCATGACACAGGGCTGGTCCACAAGCCAGAATTGGACCTGTGCTACCCCAAAGTGCTGGAATTGTCCCTGCACAGCCTCCACCCAACTGGAGCCCAATTCCGGCTGGGCAGGAGCTGCAGGGGTCCCTGGGCTTTGATCCCAGCACATGGCAGCTGGGTGGAGACAGCACAAGGCCCCAGGGCCCAGCTGGAATTGGTTTCTGGGGACCTCACGCCCCCCTCCACCTCCCCCACCTGGCCCCTGTGCACTGGGATCAGGTCCTGCATGGCCCTATATGCTTGATCTAGCACAGGGATGGCTGGATGGTACAGTACCAGGGCTGAACCTACCTTACAGGGGTGGGTCATCCCAGTTACCTGTTTTTAGTTTTCAAGAGAGATGAACTTAATCTGGAAAACTTGGATGCTGACTTTAGCTACTTCTGAATGCAGTGGCATTCAGAGTTGGTTTTGTTCAGGCCTATACATTAGGGACTGTTAGCAAAACTCAGCTGTTAATGCAGAGTCCAATTTCAAGCCTGCCTGGAGAGTGGGGTGCTTGATTCTGGGGTGCTGTTCCAGTCCCATTGTTAATTTTCCAGCTAATGAGGTCTGCAAAAAAAATTAAACGTAGCCAGCATTGCAATTTGGCTAAACTCACAGCTACTAACCATACTGCATGACCTTGTCCTGTCAGCTTCCACCATTATTTAAAGCTCCTTTGGGGTCCTGCTGGGGACCTCATCTCTCTCCAAGTTTCCCTCCTCCACAGGGGATTTCTCCTGATTTAACAAAGCGTTAACATCCAGCATGAATAATCTGGGATGTTTGCCTCCCACTTACACATACACGTGTCACATTTAGATGTCTGAACTGAATTGAACTGTGGACCTTGTGAACTGAATTCATTCAATTTGCCCAAATTCAATTTGCCCAGCAAATGCCTTGTTAAATCTTCAGTGTGTTACTCTCTGGGTTGAAAAATAGTTTATTTTTACAAGGTCATTAGCCATTTTCTGGTACTTAGACATGCAGAAGCAGATTTGGGGGGGAGTGTAAAATACTATAGCTCAATGGCAATCAAGTCTACCATGCCGATTTATGCCCACTGATTGCCTGGCCTAGTTTATTCTCAAGCGGGCACTTTTATGCTTCACATCATGTTTCTTGCTAAAGTTCTCAACTGTTGATGATATTTCAATATAACCCTTGTCAAACAGCACCGTTTATTTAATAGATTTTAAGAAAAGTCATGACTATAATGATCTGATCTGACCACCTACATCATACAGGGCAGAAAACTTCACCCAGTTATTCCTGAAATCCCATTATCTTCTGGCTGAGCTGCACCATATCTTGTAGAAATATTTCCTGTCTTGATTGAAGGACTCCAACTGATTGAGAATATTTTTTCCCTTTTGCCACCAGGGCTTCCCCAGTTTTCCAAATTAAGCATTTGGAGAGTATAAGCAGGAAATTTCCCTACACAGGCAACCCAACCAAACCCAACTTGTTCTGTCTCTCTCATAAACCTAGTGTCTCTGCTGACCCAGCCTGGCTTCCACCATTCTCTCCAGGGCAAGTTTCTCTACTATTGATGCCAGAGCCTTTTCCTCTGCTGCTCTGTCCATCAAGGAGCAGCCTTGATCTATTTCTCTGCCTCATCACCCTTTTCTTTCTCACCAGAAGGGATAAGAGAGTGTTAACTCTCAACCTGTATATTTTATACAGACGATTCTATAAAACATTTTGGATGCAGTTACTATAAAAGGTGCTGTACAAAAAAAGTGGAACAAATCCTTCAGTTCTTACTGAAGTTAGCACTTGCTAACGTACACCCGCTGCAATGCACTCATCATGTACATATTAGACACGCACTGATGCACAGAATTCATGGACTATAAAATGGATAAGTGCAAAGTCAAATCTTCATTATGTTTACAATGCTATATACACATCTGTAAATTTATGGATTTAGCACCTATTAATAACTGTAAAAAGACCAGCTCCAACACAGGGTAAGTTTTTGGCCATAAAAGGCTGGGTGATATCATTTCTTTCTCTGCTGCATTCACTTACATTGATCATTACCAGAGCACATTGCCAGGCTCAAGGTGTTTCAGTAGACAGAACGCTGGCTTGGATTATAGGGTTTATTCCCATTATTGCTACAGACTGACTGTGTTAATAACTTGGGCAAGTCCGTTCTGTTCTCAGCACCAGTCTCCCCTTCTGAAAAGTAGGAAATATATTATTTCGTACACACCTTTGCAAAACAATTTGAGATTTTGTAAAGAAAAGTGTTATTTAAAGGCTAAGCACCATTATTGCAGGTTCTGATTAAGGAAACCATGAAAATATGTACTTAATTTGCATCAACATGTCCAAAATTAAACATATACTGTAATGGTCTTTCCAAAAGCGATGCAGTCCTCCAGTCTGCAGTCATGTGTTTTTAAAACAAATCATTTAAAATACATTGATAAAAGTGAGTTAATGTTTAAAAAAAGGGAGGAAAAACTTTGAATTAATAAAGACTTGGCACATGCAACTGTTACATGCTACATTTTATTCTAATGAAAAGGGCGTGTGGTTGTACACAGAACTTTTTGATTAGCTACATGCAACAGAAATTAGGGACTCCTTTAAAGAGCCTTTGACAGTATGGGGTTGGAAGCTGCTTAGCGTTGTCATCAGAAAAATCAAACTCTCTTCTGAGAGCCAGAGCACTTCCCCTCTCACTCCCCCTCCCATATTTGTGTATATTCGGAGAGTCAGGCTTAGTTTGTTCATAAACTCCAGTTCCTGGGCGGACCCCACACACAGCTGGATTTGAAACAGCTGGATCCGCCTTCCCTGTAAGTTTAGCCAGAAACTCCACAAAACCAGGAGTCTTGGGTTGATAGGAAAAACACAGGAGACTGGTCAGACTGGTGGAGGATGAATTGATCCAAACTGTGAAGCTGGATTTCCAGTTGCTGGCAGAAAATGGATTACTGGAAGAGACTGGGTCTGATTTCCCTACTGCTGCTATCCTTCTGTGAGTAGAAAAAAAAACTTCTGGTAGGCAATGTTAAGAAGCATATTCATCGCGGTCATTTGTTTTTCCTTTCTCCAGCAGATAATCTTTGCGTTCTCCCTTGATAGTGATTAGCTGGAGGGTTTGAAATCACTGAGAATACAGTATAAAACTCTGGTAGGAATGCTGGCTTGGAAATCAGCTGTATATTTCTCTTATAAAAACTGGTAAACGTTGGACTTGGTGCATGTTTCTGCATACCTTCTTGGAGCTGCTCACAGATGTCAGTGTTTATGGTAGAAAAATATATATAGGTCAGCATTGCTTGTTGGAAATCTTTATTTTATTGAAGGAGATTAAAACCAATTGAGGTGCACTGCTGAATGATCTGACTGCAACAGTGTCCAGATGCTCAGATGTAGGACTTCTATCAGCTCCACTATAGATGCAGAATTAATCAGTCTATTTAAGAGGAGGTTAAAAACTGTCTCTGCAACAACATCTGGTTATTCAGCAACCCCTTCCAGCCCTGACGTAAAGATTTCTTTGTAATAAGTACTCTGTTTAGCTTTCTGTAGTACTTTGTTAATATTGCAAATAACCCCCCGCCATCCAGGCTTGAAAGCATGCCCTTCTGTGTTCTAATCTTGTGTTTATATCTTTATGATTGCTCCATAACAGGGGATAGGTTTGTATATAAATGGACGTTACGTCCATGTCCACTAAGTATGTATGCATGTCTCTCTGTATATACAATGCCAATATATATGTACACATTCATATATCTATATATAGTGCATATTTATATATTCACACAGGCACTGGAACATTCTTACGGTGAAGTCTTTTTTTTTTTTGTTAAACACAGACCAGTTTCACTCAATGTATGATGTTACACTGTAACTGGAAATGCTCTTTGCTCCATGCAGTGAAGCTCTGGGATTGTCATTTCGCTTTATTTACACCTAAATGAGCTGACTGGTGATGAGCATCCGTATACAACTTCTCAACAGTAAAAGAGCATGAAATAAGATGACTGATACAGAAATTGTGTATGTACAATTGTGGTGCACAGTGCGATGGATGACTTTCACAGAGCAAAACAGAGGAAGTGAAAAGGTCAAGTCAGACGAGTATTTTCAGAGTCTCTGAAAATGTTACCTGTGAGATCAATGCTGGTCTGACGGATCAAATGGTAACTGCTGCTCTGAAGATTAGGGGGAGGGATGATACACTGGGAAGAGACTGCTAAGATAATCAAATTTGAGCAAAACTAACTGAAGTACCGAAGGGTATTATTTTAAGCATAGCATGGGGTTGTTTTGGGGTAAGAGAAGAGACCACTAATTATCCTCGAGAAATGCTCAGTTTTGAACTTCTTTAACTTATGGTTTCCCTCTTCCAAAAGGCAGGCTTTAAATCCAAAAAGGCCCAAATCAAATCACAATGTCATTACAGAGATCATCTGAAATGTCAAATGACCAAAAACAATGCGTGTTAATTTTAGCTAATTAAACATCTCCATATTTTAGCCAATTAAACAGCTCCGTATTTTGATCTGTACTGTCGTATTGTAGGGGGGAAAAGTCTGTTTTACTGGATTTAACCTTACAAGATCTTCAAAATATCTTAAGTAGGTGCCTAAATCCTATTTCCTTTCAAAAGGAGATGGGCACCTAATTCCCTTAGGCTCCTTTGAAATCCCCAGCCCTCATTACCAAAGTGGATTAAAATATACATTTGATTACTTTTAAAGTAACAAATACCTAAAGGTATATAGATTAATGTCTAAAGGTCATCTGAATTAGCCATTTAGCAGCAACCGGAAAGTAATTCTTCTTAGTTGAAATGATTTTGATGCCTTCTTAGTCATATCGGAAAGAAAAATGGCCTGGGTTGTGTCTCAGTTACACCAAAGTAACTGCTAACTCCAATGCTCCTGTAAGGCTTTGTTACTGTCTTTAAGTACTCCAGATTTTCACCAGTACAACTGGGAATGCAATTTGGCTGATTCTCTGCTTCCAACAGCCCTTTTCATACCCCTTTAATTGGCGATTTGTCTGAATGATCATCTAATAACGTAACAGGCTGCTTTCAAGACTGTAGTTTGATGTATTGTTGAGAATACAGTAACAGGATGCCTTTAATTCTCACTAGTCAGTTATACAAAGACACACCAGATTCTCCTTCAGAAAATATTTATCCTTAATACTTTTTCCTCTGGTTGCTGCTCCTGATGAGCTGCATGGCAGAATTTTTTAAGCTGAACATGAAGACAGGAAACTGTCCTGTTGTGTTTCAACACAAAATCTGATTATAGAATATGTTTTTACCTTCAGTGAGCCTGGGTGTAGGAAGACTAGAAATCCACTTGTACACAGAGCTGGGTCTATTCTGGTGTCCACACTTCCAAAACAAACTAAAAAGGGATCACAAAAGGGCCACATGAATTATTCAAGGTCTAAAAAAAACCCCTGCCTTCCAGTGAGTAACTAAAAACTCAATCTATTTAGTTTATCCCAGAGAGAGGTAAGAGGTGACCTAAGCAAATAAATACTCCCCGTGTAGTATAAATATGGCATAGGGAGAAGGTTTCTGATAGCAGAGGCCTTTTCACTCCAGCAGGCAATGGCACCATAAGATCCAAATGCTAAAAACTGAAACTGGGCAAATTCCTATAAGGAATAAGGCACAGCTGTCTGAATAGGGAGGGCAATTGCTGAATGAAACAATTTCCCTAGTGCTGTGGTAGATTACTCATCACTTGAAGTCTTTAAATCAAGACTAGATGTTCTTCTAAAAAATGAATTGTAGCTCATCTAGGAGCTCTGGACTCAATGTAGGGATTTTATGCCTGTATTACGTAGGAGTTCAGATAAGATCATCATTATAATCTGCTCTGGCCTTAAAATTCTATGCCCTTTTTCTCAAAAATAAACTCTTATTTCTGTGCTAATCTGAAAACTTGCAGGTTTTTCTCAAGCTTCAATAAGATGCTGATAAATAGGACTTTGACTGGGCCAGCGCATAGTGGTATGGTATACTGCTTCCAAAGTGGCATCTTGCTCTCTACCATGTAATAATTTAAAAATATATATCCCGGCTCTGTTGCAGTATGATTGTTGGGACGACCTTGAACACACAAGCTGAGTGTAACTGGAATAGCAATATCTCAATGTGTCTGCAGAGTGGGAGGAAGCTAGAGGAGCCCCATTGGGCATCTGAGTCTCCAAGGAAGTCAAGCTCAAGAAATCTAGCAGGGACTGTGAACCTCATCAAGCAAAGATAAGCCTATGGGTGTACTTGAAACCCCTGGTGAGAAGCTGAACTCAAGGCTTCCAAAGAGCATGCACAGTCATTGGTTGAACAGCTGCACAATCTAGAGACCCACTTCTCAGCTGTGTGGAGCAGAACTTGTGGGTTGTGCTCAGAAGAGTATCACTGCCCTCTCCCTCCTCCCAATCCAGCTCCCAGTGGTACCATCTGGGATGCGTTTGCTCCCAAGACTCCCACAGAATTCACAAGTATTTAAAGTTCCTCGGGCAAAGCAGTTTGGTTCTAATTCTGGATGATCTCTTTTTGAACAGACCCACAGCAGCTGCTTGTTGGACATAACACAGAGTATCAGAGCACATACTTTATTCTCAGTAATAAATGCACAAGAGAAACCCTGGCCTTTGATTTCAGGGATCCCTGACCCACCCCAGGTTCCTCGGGGTACTTTCTCAAGAGGTGGGGCTCCTGTGGCAACTGAAGATAAAACTTGATCTCCAGTTAGCAGGCAATTGAGAGTTTTTGTCCTTGAGTTACAGTTACCAGTTTACATGACAACACCCTCCCATGCTTGATCCCATGCTAACAGGGCTCTTAGTCAAGTGGTTGAACCCCTAAAGCATGCAACAGGGACAATCAAAGTATGAAAACCAGGAGGTGTCATCCTGTTTTAAAGTCAAGGAAGCAGGGCTTCAGCTCTGGGTAACTTCTTTCTTTTTTAAAACACATTGAGGTATACAGTCAAGATGGTTATTGTACTTTAAACAAATAGTATCAACATAATTCCTTGATTTAACCAGACCCCCCCCCCCCCAGACCATTAAGGGCAACATTTTGGAAGGCATGCCACAGATAAGTCCTGCACCTTCCCAGACTGCCACTCTGATCTCATTCCCCTACCAGATCTGCTGCTCTGCTTTCTGCTCCCTGCCCAAGTTGTGGCTCTGCTTTCTACTTTGTGATCTGTGCTCTCTGCACAGTCAAATAACTCTGTTTTCTGCTACCTGCCCTACCTGCCACTGAGCTCTCTGCCCCCTCCCTGTTTTGCCATGTACCACACAGAGACTGCCCCTGCCATTTGTGGTACAAGTTTGCCACTTCTATCCGACACGTATCAGATTTTACTGGTTCCCTTTGACTTATACTTCTAACAGAGCAGCTTAGAAGGTGATGTTGCATTTCTCTTGAGATAAAACGCAAGGCAAGAGAACTGCTCAGATAATTATGCAAGTGTATTTTTAAGGGCAAGAGTTCAAAATCAAATCAACAAACATTTTGCTAATAAGGGAAAGTGGAAAAATCTGAAAAATGGGAGGGACAGGTACCATGTGCCTGGTTGGGAAATACTTCTGATGTCAATTCTACTGCACTAGGATTTTGGTGGTGGCGATTATGGCAGGGTAGTATTGCTGTTACATGGATGTGGATGGGCGGGTAGTGCCTGCATGGCCGCACGGGATGGTGCTTGGCGGCATTCCATGCCCACCTGCCCATGCATACCCCCTAGGGCCTTCTCAAGTACCCCCAGTTGTTCTAGTTAATTGAATTATTACTTATTACCTTATTATTTAATACTGTTATGTTATTATTATGCCCACAAACAAATCAGCACCACCAACAAAACCTTCTCCAATCTGATAAGAGACTAATGGGCTATTCAATGGTGTCTATCCATAGTTAAACTTTTATCTTTGGCAAGAGCAGGGAAGATTTCCTGGGCAGCATCTGACTCCTTCCAAATAAAAAAC